CGATTTTTCTTCTCTAGGTTGATGGCCAGACCGAGACAAAGGGGCAGATCAAGCTTCGATTCAGGACAGCCTCTGGGAAAGACGTTGTGTGCATTCGATCCTTTCAGCTCACGCAAAAGGCGTCAAAGATGGAATACAAGGCCATCGAGAGTGTTCTTCAGACAATCAACACTCACACCGGAGAGGTACTACTGTGTGATTGTATTTTCATGTTGGTTCTCTTTGCTCTTTGGCAGAAAGTGTGCCTTAGTTATCGCTGTGCGGACATGGACAGAGAGGTTCCAGCTCTCATGGGCGTATCGAAGGCCATTTTGGAGAACGTGATTTTTGTGCATCAGGACGAGGCGAACTGGCCATTGTCGGAAGCTTCTGTTCTGAAGAAAAAGTTCGATGACATTTTTTCGGCGACCAGGTAATGCAGGACAATGCATGGGAATATATCTTCTTACTTTTGACTTGCAGATACACGAAGGCCCTGGATGTCATCAAGAAGCTCCACAAGGACCAGACACAAGAAATCAAGATGCAGAAACTGAAGCTTGAAAACGTGCAAACGCTCAAGGATGCAGCGTACAAGGTTCTTTCGTGCTTATTTGGCACTACCTTTTCTTAAATGCCTTTGTTACAGCTGCAAGAAACTATCGACGGCGATCAGCAGAAGACAAAGCAACTGCAAGACTTGATAGCCATTCTGACTCCAAAGATCCAGGCTGCGCAGGCTAAGATAAACTCTTTAGAGGGTGTTCTGGAGGAAATAAGGCAGCTGCAGAAAGAAATAAATTTCAAAGATGGCGTCAGAACTTCTGTGCTAAAGGCAAAGACCGAGCAGTACAATGCGCTGGAGGAGGAAAACGAAGGTATACATCCATGGCTTTAAACGGGTCGAATCAAATCTAACGCGCTTCACTCTGCAGACAGCGATGAAGATCTGGCTGAATGGCAAGAAAAGTTTCATGAAAGGATTGCGCAGTCCAACAAAGAGATTTGCGATCTTCAAAGGAGCTTGGATGCTGCTAACACGCAATATGACACCCTGTCTGAGTTGATTGCTCAAGCGTCTACACAAGTCGGAAAGTTCGAGGGAGAAGAAAATGTATGCCTAATGAGTTTTGCATGCCATACTAACATCGTTAAATTCAGGCCCATCTTCAAGATAAAAAGCAGTGCGATGCCCTTATACAACAGCTTTTTGACCGTTACAAACTTGGCAATCTGGTGCTTCCACTTGATGAACAGGCGACAGAAAGATCCATTGCTAGGATTACAAATCGCCTGGAAGATTTGAAGCAGGATCATGCTAAACTTACGGTGCCACTTAACGCTGTTTATGGCGGAAGTCTGATATCACAATTTTGCAGAAATTTCACGAGAAGGAACTAGCTACATTTTCAAAAAAACTGGATGACGTCAACCAGAAATACAGCGATGCTAGTGGAAGAAAGGATGGAAAAATTGGTCAGAAGGTATACATATGCCTTTTTAGCCTTTTGTGATGTTTGACAAGGACTTGCAGAGGTCTATAGAAAAGCGTATTGACGAGCTAAGAACCACCTTCCGGGACACGTCAACTCTCGAGGGCGAGTTAAGAAGAAGCGCAGAGAGAGCTGCATCAATGGTGAGGCTTAAAGCACAAATGATCAACTGCCTAGCTCTGTTGGTAACAGGATACGGAAGTTAAAAGAATGCAGAGGAAAATGGACGACATGAACTTTGATGAGCTCATCAGCGAAGAACGAAAAAATAAGCTGGGCATAGAGCAAAAGATTCGGAGCTTGCGTTTGGAAAAAGCCAATCTAGACCGAGATGCCGATGACAGACGTAGCCTGAAGCTAAAAGCGGACGATCTAGCGTCTCAACAAAGGAACCTCAAGAAACTGTAAGTATTTGAGTTTTTTATTTTATTTTGCTCTATGTTTGATATTAATGCATTCGCTACAGGATGGAAGATAACAAGGACAAATTCAGGTTAACTTTGAAAACGCAACCTAAGGATCCTAAGACTGTGAAGTCAGATGTGGAGCTTACATTCGGGTAACGCGCAAACCCTTTGAATGTCTAAAACCGGATTTATATTTGCAGCAACATCTCTAAGGCATACGACGAGCTTCTTGATAGATCCCGAGATGCCGATATGAGAGTTGCACAGGCACGCGCAATGCTTGACGATGCAAAGTCTACACTTGCGAAGCAGCAAGAAGAGAAAGAAGGTGACCTTCTGTTGAATAAAATCATTGTTAAAGATGCACCAAGTCCAAACTTGATGTTGCAGCTAAACGGAAGCTCTTGATTAGCAGGCTTTACAGTCTTTTTCAACAGGATTTGAATCCCAGCAGTTATCCATCAAAGTTACGCGAACTCTCTGACGCAAGAGATTCGAGCAAAAGGTCTGTTTAAGGTCTACAAGAAGCTTTCTCACGGTTGGCCTTGAACGAATGCAGCCAGCATGACATGGCTGACGGAATGCGGCGAATGTTTGACCCGTTCGAGCGAATTGCAAGGGCAACTCATGCATGCCCGTGCTGTGAACGACCTTTTGCCACTCCTGAGGAGGAAGACGAGTTTGTTGACAAGGTTGGTTTGTCTTCCGGTCCAAAGCTGCACTCATTTTTTTCTTCTTCCAGCAACGAGTAAAGCGCTCATCTACTGCACAACGCCTGCATGAATTGGCGTCCTTGACCAGCATTGCGGATAATAAATTTCAGCAGCTGGATAAACTTCGGCCGTTGTTTGAGGAATACCAAAAGCTAGAGAGTCAAGGAATTTCAGCTACGGAGAAATCTATCTCGGACATGACAATGGAGCTTGAGAGAAGTACAGAAACGCAAAATGACGTAAATTCTTTCCGCTTCAATGTTTGGAAGCTAGCTAACTTGCTTGTTTCTGCTATTTCAGGTATCTTGTCTCCTAGCACAGTCCAAAGCCGAGCTTGGCTTGGTAACAGAGCTTCGAATTACTGCGCAGTCGATCGAGGAAGCTTATACGAGCGTTCAAAACCTCGAAAGGGAGGTCAGAACGCTTCAAAATCAGCTTAACCCTGAGTCATCTCTGCGGTCCCCAGATGACGTAGGAGAAGAACTTGAAAAGCACGAGAAACAACTGTAAGCAAGAGCAGGACCGTGTTTTCATTGACTCTCTCTCGTTTATTTTGGCGCAGGGAAGAATTAAATCGAAAGCTCGATAGGCTTAAGGAAGAACATGACTACATGAAAGACGATCTTGCAAACTGCAAGCAGAGGAAACATGCTGAGGAGATGAAGAAAGCAGATTTAGAGAAAAAGCTAGAACGGAACAAAGCTTTGAAGGAGGAGGAAGCTAGCTTGGTTAAACAGATGAATCAAATCGACACTGAAATTCAGGTTTGATTTTGTTTGCTGGTAAAAAATTTATGTCAACATTCTGCTTTTTGTGGTTAGTTTGAAATGGAGCAGCTGGAGCCTCTAGCAGAAGAAAAAGAAAGGCACCTAAAAGAGTTCGATCAACTTAAGAGAAAGTTTAGACAAGAGCAGGATGTTAGCACTCAGGGCGTAAACGACTTCGACAAAGAGGTTCATTCCTTAACGAATATCTGGGGAAAGATTAAAGAGTATGCTTGTTCTTCGTCATTAGCGTAATTCTAATTCTTTTTGTTTGCTGTGCAGTTATGTGGAGCGTCATAAAACACACAACGTCCAGACCGCGAAGAGAAGGTTGTCTGAGCTGCAGGCGCAGAAGGACGAAGAAGAGTCCAAAAAAAGCTTTTGCCTTGCGGAAGTTCAGAGAGTGAATAACGTGCTCGCGCAGCAGAAAGTCATCGAAAGAAACATTGCCGACAACATAAAATATCGTAAGCTTTGCGCAGAGGAGCAGAAGTGCATCCAGGAAATTAAAGCGCTGGAAGAAAGAATGCTGGCAATTGGAAACACATTGGACTTCGAGGGAGAACTGAAGAAAGCTTTGAAAGAAAAACAGCATCTAATGGGCGAGGTAAAGAGTTTCACCCAGTGATTATGAGTATATGTTATTGAATTGACTTGCAGGAGAGCCGTCACAAAGGAACTATTGCGGTGCACGAAAGCAACATAGCAAGGAACAAAGCAGACTTAAAGCAGCCGCAGTACAAAAATATCGACAAGCGTTATCGAGCCCAGCTCATACAGCTTAAGGTGGAAGTCCTTTTTCTGTTTTTCTTGTGGTCCTCACTGTCCTCTTTATGCTGCAGACGATGGAAATGGCGAATAAGGATCTGGATAAATACTATAACGCACTGGATCGGTACATTGTTTTCGATGCTAATGTCATTGGATGATTCGAGCTTTTTTGCAGAGCCCTGATGCGATTCCATACCATGAAGATGGAAGAAATCAACAAAATAATCAAAGAGCTCTGGCAGCAGACATACAGGGGACAAGATATCGACTTTATCGAAATAAGAGCCGACGCCGAAGGAACTGGCACCCGTTCTTATAGCTATCGGGTATGGTGCACTGTTAGCTGTTCTTGTGCAGATGATGCGTCTTTTGATACAGGTGGTAATGAGGGCGGGAGGCGCAGAGCTCGAAATGCGTGGCCGCTGCAGTGCTGGGCAGAAGGTATCGAATGATCTCCACGGCTTGCTGATTGTAGTGTCTGTTTTACAGGTCCTCGCTGCCCTGATCATTCGCTTGGCTTTGGCTGAGACGTTTTGCCTCAACTGCGGGATTCTGACGCTGGACGAGCCTACGACAAACTTGGACGCTCAAAACGCTGAGAGCTTTGCAGCTGCGCTCTTAAGGTGGGCTTCGAACCTGGCCTCTAGTCTCTAACCAGCAGACACACTAGGATTATGGAAGAGCGGCGAGGACAGGAAAACTTCCAGCTTATCGTGATCACCCACGACGAGAGATTTGCGCAACTTATCGGGCAGCGGCAGCTAACGGAGAAGTACTACCGAGTGTCCAAGGATGAAAGGTAAGCTAAGCTAGCTGTTTATCTCAGTCTGTATTTGACACTCTCGTCACCTTGCAGGCAGCACAGCCTGATAGAAGTTCAAGAGATTTTCGGGTAAATAGAATAGAAGACGGTGGCATATATAGAAATATATGTAGAGGTACACACTCTCTCCCGTCCACGTAAAAAATGCTCACACATGAGGTTTATTTTTCATTGAGATGACTAAGATTTCTTCTTGACTAAATTTCTGACTACTTTTTATCCATTCTATTTTGTTTTGGCTGGCTCAGACAAGAAGCAAATAAATTTGCGGGGTCTTCTCGCTCACGCTCCATGCGCTTTTAGATATCACTCTTTGACCAGTCTGGCTTTTCATCGGGCCAAATTTGAGGATAGTGCTCCAGACAACCCTGAATACAATCCCAGGCCATCAAATGAATCCAGATTGTCACAGCATTGTTGTCTCCCAGGCATAGGTTCTTCTCCAACCTATTTGAAACATCTATACCTTCTAGCAGGTTTGCCAATCTCCAGTATAGCATTATCTTGATTGCTGTGTAATTTGTTCACACGCCAGTTAAGTTGATCGCACTGTTCCCGACCGTTGGATCGAGATTAGTTATTGTCTATAGTTTTGGAGAACCTGTATTATTGCTTATGTGGCACATGAATCGTACTAATCCAATAAAAATGTGCCAAGTGTCACTTAGCTGGAGCCCTCGCTTACCGATACTTTGCTGACGACCTCTTTGATTCGTATCCTTGCACTGTGGCAATATCCGCGGTAAGCTCCTGCCTGCGTCGATCGAGTCCAAGAAGGCGCGCAGCGATCTCGCTGGAGACAATCGCGCTCTCAGTCCATGCACATTGTAGCTCACAATCCTCATTTCCCCGCCAAGCCAGGGAGGAGCTCAAACGAAATAGGGCAAAAGCAATCTTATACTCTATCATATCAAAGTGTTATAGTAGTTACCAAAGAAAAGAATGCAATGTATTAACTATGGAACTATGGAACGATCTCAAGTAGCTTGCACTGGCGAGGAGCTCGACTGTTTGGACATGAGATACGCTGTGAGAAGTGGCTCCACATTCCCGTCCATGATTCCACTGATATCCGACGTCTCCACGTTTGTTCTCAAATCATGTACGAGCCTGTAAGGATGGAAGACGTAGTTTCTTATTTCCTGCCCCCACTCCGCCTTGACAACGTCCCCTCGAATCTCTTTGATCTCGGCAGCCTTTTGCTCCTCGAGAATCACCAGGAGCTTGGATTTGAGCAGCGCGATTGCTTTTATCTTGTTTTCGAGTTGGCTTCTTTCCTTTACAAACACAAAGAAAGTTTTAGAGAGCGCTGTGCGGTTACTTCGTTTCATGTACCTGAGCAGTGAAGAGCAATCCCGGTTGGAATGTGCGTGACATGAACAACAGTCTCGACCTGCGTATGCTTATATCTCCGGAGAGAAAGGCACTGAAGAGGTGTGGATATTGGAAATCTATTGCTAGTAAGAAAACAAAAGAAAAAAGGGCCCGATCTCCAAGGGCTGAGAAGAAGGATGAGTGAAAGAATGCTATGTATTAATAAGAAAATGATGAATGGCGATGGGGATCCACAATTTGGATTCCCCCCTTTGAAAGGCTAGTGGTTCTAACTGTTAGCATATGCTAATGAATGGTATATGCTTGTATGATCTAATCTATGGCTCCGATGTAACCTTGGGTGCAAGGTCAAAGTCCCCTGAGCCTGGGTTTTTGGATGATACACTCTGCTCCCCTAACAGAACTAGACACCATCCTCGGTGCGAACATATTTGTTGTTGCTGCTGCTGAAGTCGATAGAGGCTGCAGGAATGTAAGCTCGTGGTTGGGGACATTGTCTGGTGGATCTGTCCCATCTTCCTGGAGCTCGGCTACCTCAGCCAGGAGGGCGGTATGATCATCCTCGAGCTTCCGGTAGCAGGTGTTGAGCTCTTCGTATTTGAATTTGTAGGTGAATTCATGAGCTGCTGATGGGGTTGATGGCTGCTTGGAGACGATCTTCCTGATGTCCCAGAGGTCGATGCAGATCTGCTTCATCTCCTCCGACTCTATAGCTCTGTAGACTTTTGCTGTCGCTGTGCGCTTGCTGATTGTGCGATCTGTTGGGCGAAGTTCATAGTAGAGGAGGGCTTTGAGGTGATTCAAATGCTGCTCGTCGATGTCCTCCCATGTGAGCTCACCGGTAATTTCTCAATTGTCCTTGATGATTTGCTGTGGAACTTCTCCTAAGAATTTGAGCAGTCCCTTATTGGAGATTTTGAAAATGGAGGCAATTCTTGCTGGCCTGAGGGTGATCTTGTTGGTGCCATCGGTTATGGTGCTGTTCTTGGGGTTGAAGGAGGCGGCCAACTTTCTTGCCAGTTTTTGGTCAGGGTGTGTTGAAAAGGCCTTGTGGAGGAGCTCGAATCCATCCTTGAGCCAGGTGGTTGTGTCGTTGCTTGGAAGCCTAGGAATATGGTGTATGATATCTGAGGCACTGGGGTGGATGAGCTGGCTTCTCTCTCTTCATTTTCTGTGATTGAAGTGCTTGCCCCATTAGGGTTCTTGAGACCCGTAACTGTTGGTTGGCTGATCGTGTGGTGCTCGATTGCTGGTGATGAACAGTAGAGATTTGTTGACAGAATGACTTGGCTTGATTGAAGATCAATGGTGGAGATTGCTGATAAAGTTAACTCAAGTTCAACTGTTGAGAGCTGTTGATCCAACGGTAGGTTTGGACTTAGAGATTTTGTGGCTATTTGTTGCTAAAGTTGGTGGGCGAGTTTGTGTTGAGTCGAGTTGAGTTGTGTCTAACTGAGATGAGTTAAAGTTTGTCTGCTGGGGTGATTGTCGATTGTTGGTTTTAGGGTGTTTGTCGGTTCCGGTTGGAAATTTGCTAAGGTGCTGATGTTGAACATGTAGACGTGATATGGTCGAAGCTTGTTGAGGTTGACGATCTCAGTGAAGTCTTTGGCGAGTGTGCTGACTTTGGCGGTGCCATTGGGGTAGAGTGCAATGATTTTGAAAGGTCCTTCCCAATTGGTCTGGAGTTTTCAGCCAAGTTTGCCGATGGGTCCTTGGTACTAGAGAACATGATCGTTGACACTGTATTTCGGAATGTTGTGTGATGCTTGTAGCTTTTCTCTATTTTTGGATGGCGTGAAGTGTCCAGAGGGCATTGAGTCGGAGTTCGTCAAGACGTTCAAGTTGCTGAAGCCTTTCTCGAATTGCGTGTCGGGTGTCGAGATTATACTTGATGGTGACTTGCATGCTTGGGACAATGAATTCAATTGGCGTGATGGCTTCTGTTCTGAAGGCGAGTTTGAATGGCGTCATGTCGGTGGTGACTTTATATGCAGTTTGATAGCCCTAAAGTACATTGAGAAGTTTGTCGTCCCAATCTTTGCCGGAATCTTTGATGACTTTTTTGAGGATGGTCTTCAGTGTTTTGTTCATTGCTTCTGCTTGACCGTTGCCTTGAGGATAGTATAGTGTTGACATTTTGTGTCGGATTTTGAACTCGGTGGTGAGATGTTCGATTGTTTCATTGATGAAGTGGGTGCTTCTGTCGGTAATGAGTTCGAATGGTGTGCCGAAATGAGTGATGATATTTTCGTAGATGAAGGTTGTTGTTGCTTTCACTGTGGCATGTCAGAGAGGTATTGCTTCGGCCCACTTGGTAGTGTAATCGGTGGCAATGACAATGTACTGATTTCGTCAACGGGTGCTGACTTGGGGTCCAACGAAATCAAGTCCCCATTTCTGAAATGGTGCCATTGGAAATGTTGGGTTGAGTTGTTGAGTTTGAGTTTTTGGCAGTAATCAGTGTTGTTGACATGTGATTGCAGAATTCTTCAGTGTCATGCCAGAGTGTCAGCCACTATAGGCCGGCTTCAAGAATCTTCCGAGTTGTGGTGTCGGTGGTGAAGTGTCCACCAGAAGGTCCATCGTGAGTTTCCTTGATGATTTGAGTTGTGCTTGGCAGCTTGATGCATAGGCAAAGAATGTTGTCGATGCCGCATTTGTAGAGAGTGCCTCCAATGACTAAGTATCAGCGGGTTTTAGCAACAAAAGTCTTCTTTTGGTCAGATGTGGTGTACTGATCCGGAACTTTTGCTGAGTTCAGGTAACTAAAGACGTCGTCGAGCCAGGTTGCTAGTATTGAAACTCGGAATAGGTTTGAGTATTCTTGTAGTAAAAGGAACCATCTTGATATTCAACCACATAGTATCGGCTTGTTGATGAGGTAAAGGAGTGCCTTGTGGTCGATGAAAAGGACGACTTTGGTTGACAATATGTAGTGTCGGAACTTTTGAAGTGAGTAGATCATGCCGACAGTTTCTTTCTTGGTGGTGGTGTAATTTTGTTCAGTTGGGTTGAGTAGTTGGCTGGCGTAGTAGATCGGTTGATCTCGGTTGTCATGTTGAGTTTGGCTGAGAATTGCGCTATGTGAGACACAAAATCCCTAAGCCCCAAAGTGGAGCCAGAAAGGGTGCCATGTGGTAGTGGCCGAAGCGAAAGCCAAACGAGCGTAACACGTTTGGACTAAAAGCTCCGACTTGGAAGGTCGAGAGCGGGAGTGGAACACCCAACAAAGTGCTCGAGGAGCGAGCACGAGGCAACCAATAAGAAAGGCTCCAAAAAGGGGACCCAAAAGGGACCAACACATGACACGTGGAAGAGTCTGAGATGGACTGAGACGGAGTCCGAGATGGACCCGAGATGGAGTCCGAGATGGACCGAGATGGAGTCCGAGATGGAGTCCGAGATGGGGTCCGAGATGGAGTCCGAGATGGACCCGAGCTGGAGTCTGAGGTCGAGACCGAGACCGGGACCGAGACCGAGACCGAGACCGAGACCGAGACCAGGACTGAGACCGAGACCGAGACCGGGGCCAAGACCGGGACCGAGCCCGAGCCCGAGTCCGAGTCCGAGTCCGATTCCGAGTCTGAGTCCGAGTCCGAGTTCAAGTCCGAGTCTGAGAGGGTGAAAGCCCATTCGTCTCCCAGACCCTGGGGGGTTTGGTGAGCTCCAAAAGTATAGTAGAGGGGAGGACTGCAGTGGAGCCAGTTTGGCCAGGAAAGGCCAGTTTGGCCAGGAAAGGCCAATTTGGCCCAGGAAGGCCAGACCCAGTGTTGGGTGATGAACTGACCACTGGGAAGTCCAAGACTAAAGTGAATACGGACCGACAAGCGGGGTAGCTTGGTGAAGTGTTCAAGAGC